AGAAGTCCAGAGGGCGAGGTTAATCAGATACAAAATAGTAACTCCTTTTCCAAAGCCTTGGGGAATGTCATGAGGGAAACATTCTTGTGGGGCTTTGGGTTTTTTTTTTTTTAAGGCTTCCTGTGGAGCTGGCTTACCAAGCCTCATGGAACAGACAAATACCATTTGGAAATATGGAAAGAATATAATTCTAGCTATTTTGGATACTGTCTGTTATAGACCACCCAAGGTAGAAACTGTGTGGCTGTCAGCACATTCAACACTCTTGAGTTTTTGTAATCGGAAAAGAAAATTAAACAGTTATAATGTCCATCAATTGGTGAATGGATAAACAAAATATGGTGTATCTATATGAGGGGAATATAAAAACTGACAAATGCTCTAACGTGGATGAACGTTAAAGCATTACGTTAAGTAAAAGAAGCCAGATGCAGGCCCGGCGCGATGACTCACGCCTGTAATCCCAGCACTTTGGAAGGCCGAGGTGGGTGGATCACCTGAGGTCGGGAGTTCAAGACCAGCCTGGCCAATGTGGTGAAACTCCATCTCTACAAAAACACAAAATTAGCCGGGCATGGTGGCATGCACCTATAATCCCAGCTGCTTGGGAGGCTGATGCAGGAGAATCACTTGAACCCAGGAGGCAGAAGTTACAGTAAGCTGGGATCACGCCACTGCACTGCAGCCTGGACAACACAGTGAGACTCTGTCTCAAAACAAACAAACAAAACCAGATGCAAAAAACTATATACAGATGCTCCTCAACTTACCTGATAAACCCACCATAAGTTGAAAATAAATGCATTTAATACATCTAACCTACTGAACATCATAGCTCAGCCTAGCCTACCTGAAATGTGCTCAGAACACTTGAACACTTACATTAGCCTATAGTTGGGCAAAATCACCTAACAGCCTATTTTATAATAAGGTGTTGAATATCTTATGTAATTTATTGAATACTGTACTGAAAGTGAAAAACAGAATGGATGTATGGGTACTTGAAGTACAGTTTCTACTGAATGTCTGTTGCTTTCACACCATGGTGAAGGTGAAAAATTATAAGTAAAATCATCGCAAGTTGGGGACCATCTGTATTGCATGATTCTATTTATGTGAAATATCCAGAAAAGGCAAATCTGTCGAAACAGAAAGCAGATCAGTGGTTGCCTGGGAGTGGGTTTGGGGATTGATTGTAAATGAGCACAAGGAATCTTTTTAGGATGATAGAAATACTTTCTAAATCTAGAATTTGCTAAATTTACTAAATATCATTAAATTGTACACTTAATTTTATGAAATTACACCTCAGTAAAACTGTTTTAAAAACCAGAAAGATTACCATTGCATATTCTCTAATGTTAGATCATTCGTGATTTTCCTTTCTGGTCACCAGTGACTGTGGCATAAAGGGATGAGCAGAGAGAATGGACCACTTCTCAGGCTTCCTTTGGGTGAAGAGCTCTGTAGTGGGTTCTGAGGAGGCTACAGGTAGAATGGCCACATTTTCTCAGCCAAAAAGGGAAGTACAGAGTTGGGCAGTATCCTAGGTGCACTCATTTTCTCATTTATTGTTTATTTTATTATTTATTTATTTATTTATTTATTTATTTATTTATTTATTTATTTTGAGATGGAGTCTTGCTCTGTCACCCAGGCTGAAGTGCTGTATCGCAGTCTCGGCTCACTGCAACCTCCGCCTCCCGGGTTCAAGTGATTCTTCTGCCTCAGCCTCCCGAGTATCTGAGACTACAGGTGCCCACCACCGTACCTGGCTAATTTTTTGTATTTTTAGTAGAGACGGGGTTTCACCATGTTAGCCGGGCTGGTCTCGATCTCTTGACCTTATGATCTGCCTGCCTAAGCCTCCCAAAGTGCTGGGATTACAGGAGTGAACCACCGTGCCCGGCCTCATTTTCTCATTTAATCTTCAATTAATTCTTATAACAATCCTATAGGAAAGGTACAGTAGGACATATGCTCATTTTAGAGAAGAAAACCGAGGCTCAGAGAGATTGAATCCTGTAAAATCTCAAAGTGTACAAATAATGGAGTGTAGAGATTTAACCAAAAATTTTTCTGGCTCCAAAAAATGAGAGATCTTTGTTATAAAAATGCTGCCTCCTAAGAGGAAGTATATTTATTGGAGGAGCACTATAGTCTCTGACAAATGAAAAACATGTTTTAGGGAACAATGGCCATTCTGATCAGTAAATGACTAGATGACCATGGTAGGTAGAGAATACAACAGGACTGGCTCTGTTTGTCTGCACTGGGATTGGGCTGGTAGGTTATGGAGGGTGCTGATGTGAACATGCCTACTTTTTGCAGTGGATGACCCCTGATCCTCTGGGTATGCTGAATTATTAGTTTCTCTCCTCTTGTTTTTTCTTGCATGGTTAAAAAAAAATGCATCATGGAATATTTGACATCCCAGAAAAATAAAAAATACTCAAATGCCTACCAGCTAGCTTAATAAATAAAACATGATGGCTATACAAGTAAGCCAAGTTACTCAGTGTTAGAAAACTGGACTCTGAGTCGGAAAACCTAGATTCAAATCCCAGCTCCAGTGTTTATTACCTTGGACAAGTCATAAAACCTTTCTGAGCTTCTGTTTCCCCTTATGTGAAAGAGGGATAATCCTACTCACTTCCCATGTTGTAAGGATTAAATGAGATCATGCATATGAAGAGCTTAGCCTGATACACACTGGTTAATAATAGCTCTTATTGTTATAAACTGTATGACTTGATAACTGTAAAAGGCACTAAAAATAAATCTTACATAGATTTCATCTATCCCCATAATTAACAGTACTTTCTTCCTTCGGTGAATTCAGTTTTGAGGGGAAATTGTTTTCTTAACTTAATAGGCACTAACTTGTGTGTCAGCCCTTGCTTGGCTTACCTTGATTCTGTCCCTAGCTCTTGTCACTGCCCAGTTGGGTGACTATAGATATGTCACTTCACCTTGTGGGCCTTTGTTTTCCCATAAGTAAAGTGAGTAGCTAGCTGAATTATTTCATCCAAGCCTCACACTCTATGATTCTCATGTACCACTGAGAACATTTGGAATCAGAAGTGGAACATGCTACAGGTGTGTGCCTCTCCTTTGGTTTCCTTAGTGTGGAGAAGGAAGCATGGCTGAAGGATTAAAGCTGAATTACCAAAAGAGACTGAGGGGCTGGCCCACCCCTTGGGCGTTTCTCTGCTTCACACATCACACAGAGTGGTTTATATGCAGTGACTTTGCATCCTGACTTGCCACATCAGTCCTGGCTACCAACTGTGGTCTGGTATAATTAAGAGCTCCCCACTCCCTGGCTTTCATTCTCAAAAGAATCATAGTTAACACAATCGATTAAAAGGTCACCATAGTAAAAACTGTCATTTTTAAGATATGAAGGTGGAACTGTATGAGACTCTCATTCAGGATTCTGGGGTTATAGTCATATAATAACCAAGACGAGTGAAGGACTTCACTGTTTAAAGTGCGCTTTTGCCTAAATGCTCCCATTTGTTCTGCAAAACAACCTTGTGCAATGGGGCAAAGTGGTGTCCGTATTGCCTTTTTACTGAGGCCCAGAGAGATTAAGTGACTTGCCTGGGGTTGCACAACTAGTAAGTGATAAGAATACAGATTGGAACTCATGGCTTAGGTTTTCCAAATGCTGTGCTCCTGTCTGCTTTGTCCTGTGATAGAATCTGCTAGCTCCCAGAGAAGGGTGTGAAGGCTGGATTCTAGAAGTTTGTATTGTCAGTTTCTTCAGAGCCTGGAGAATGGGATGCTCCAAGGGGAAGTAAATTCAGCCTGACCTAATCAGCAGATCACGTTGGGCCAAGGCACTGGCGGGGCACACTTCCTCTTCTGCGTGGAATGGAGCTTGCTTCTGAAAGGACTCCATTCATACTCTCTGCCCCTCAACTAAGCCTTGTAGGAAACTCTTGTTCCTTCACTAGCAGCCTCTTTCCCAGCCCGGGGCTAACCTGTAAGTGTGCATTACCTACCCTTCTAACAAGGCCTTTGAAGCTTTCTTGCTTCACATCTGTCTTTCCCCCCTTGCCAGTTAAGAAAAACCCATTCTAGAGTGATAGGAAAGCAGAGAGTGCTGAGTATGTTTGCCCCCAAGGTTCCTTCTCCTCTGTCCCTCATGCTCAGTGGCCCCCGAACTTCACTCTTAGGGTCTGCTCAGACTCTGGCCATCTGCATCTAGTGTTAACTGCATAGAAAGGAGGGATCTCCCAAGGAGAAGCCCCTCGTGAGCCATGGCCTTTGCCTGTGAATAAATATTTTATTCTCCTCTGCAACTCTTTATGCATGCCTTGAGGCAAATGTATTTTAACGTTGAAAAATACTGTCTGGAATAAAAACAAACATTTATTCCCACTCTGTTCTAATTTCTTTTAATGTAGGGAATATTTTGTATGAGTCCATTATGGAAGCAAGTCCTTCTAGCCTGTTCTATACCCACCCCAAATTAGAGTTATTTGTTCAGCAGATGAGGGACACAGAGCCACATATTTGAGAGTAGAGTGACTGGGGAAAGCAGAGCACGCAGATCATGGAGTGGGACAGCAGCCACTTGGCACACTCATTGTGGCTTGAAGCTTAGAACATGGACTTGGCAGCAGCCAAGTGCACTGTGAAGACCCATGAGCTTCCCCCAGTGCCAGAGTTCCTCCATCCCCTGCCTGTAGAACAAGCACAGTCTTGCTTGAGACGCTTGCTTTTTCAGTGGTGTCCTTACTGAGAATTTCCTCTTGGCACCTACCAGACATCTAGTTGCAACTTGCCTCCTGTATCCACTCTAATTCTAATGGCGAGAATAAGCTAATTTCTTTGTGGTATAGGCTGATTTTAATTGACTGTGATACCAATGAAGTGTTCAGGAAGCCTGTCATATCCTAAAGAAATCAAACTCACGCGCAGGCTGAAACAGCCCGTTGAACAGGAAGAAGAGCTCCCCATCTGACCAGAGTCTCTTTATTGTCTTGCAGAGATCAGGAATGGAAACCTCAAGGCCATTCTAGGCCTCTTCTTCAGCCTCTCCCGATACAAGCAGCAGCAGCAGCAGCCCCAGAAGCAGCACCTCTCCTCACCTCTGCCGCCCGCCGTGTCCCAGGTGGCCGGGGCCCCCTCCCAGTGCCAGGCTGGCACCCCTCAGCAGCAGGTGCCAGCCGCTCCCCAAGCCCTGTGCCAGCCTCACCAGCCAGCGCCACATCAGCAGTCAAAAGCACAAGCTGAAATGCAGTCCAGGTGGGGGCTCCTTGCCAACTGATGGTTCTGTTTCTCAGGCATCTTCCTCCACACCAACCAATCTCTAGGCTATCCTGTATGGGTTTTTCATTTGTGCTTCTTCAATGCTGAGAGCTACTGGTCGTTAGTGGGAAATTAGCATGGCCTTGAAATGGATACAGTGAGGAGCCCTTCTTGTGTCTGGCAGAGATGTATACTTTTATAGGTCAGAATTGCCAGCAGCCAAAGCTAATTAGCTGCTCCTGCTATTACTCTGGCCTATTACACACATGCTTGTAGGCAATAAACTGCCCCTAAAATAGACTTCAAACCCCTTTTGTTTGTCTGCCTACAAGCCGAATGTTCAGTGTTATATATGAGAGTAGTTTTACTTAGTGGAGGTAAAAGTTCTATTCCAGTAGATGCCTCTGCTTTGCCAGAACAGAAATATAGAGGGCACTAAAGAAAGGTGGCAAGGGAAGGAGGCAGCCATCCCTGAGCGGGGCAGCATCGCCTAATGGGAGCAATTACCATTAAATGTGACTGTTGTGTTGAACTGCCATGAGGAGAGTCCCACAATGCAGGAGTGATCTGCAGGGTTAGGGCCTGGATTTTGTTCCCAGGGGGACTGATGTTTGCCAGTCATACTCACCAGGTACAAGCCAGTTGTCACTGTAGTTACCATCTACTGTGCTACAATGGAAATAACATCACTTTGTAAAACTTTTGTCTTAATGGCAGAAAAAAAAAGGAAGACTTTAGAAACTAAAGAGTTCTTGACTCGAGGTCAAGTTCTACAGAAAAGTTCATACTGTTTTCTTTTAAGCCACAAGACTTCAGCTATAAGCCCTAAATGTCACGATCAGATTGATTACTTGATTTCATCCAGTGTGTGCTGAAGTGTAATGGCCTTTCCTTTTCATTCCCCCAAAGCACTAGCATTAATAATCATAAGGCTTCTCACACACCTTGATGTACCTTTTATTACCCATTGTAGTTAGGCAGAGCACAAAGCTGCTCAAACACAGCTGCTGCCTTATAGACAGTTACAGCCTTCTTTTTTCCCCATGAGAAGTGCTATTTCCCAATTGTGATGGTGTTAAAACCAGCAGTGATGGGTGTAATGTAAATCAGGCCCCGTAATTAATTATCTAATTATATCCAGTTTGCATTATGGAAATTTGTGGGGTGGGAGAGATGCCTGGACTAGCAATGAGGAACAGACAGCCTAGCAGCCAGTTGCCGAACCCTTTCCCTGGAGAACTGCCTGAGTGGGAGTCACTCCCAGTCAGAGCTTCCCTGATGGACATGGATGATTTAAATGATCAGGGCGTCATTTCCCAGACTGCATTCTGCCGAGTGCTTATTCCCTGGGATGTTAACTTGGGTCATATTGCAGGAGATGAGTTCTGTGGGGGGGGGAAATATTGGGAGATAATTTGGGTTAAATTGTTATATGGCTGTCATTGTAGGTCTACTCAGATCCTTGAACCTGCCAATATGCATTTGTTTATTTAATTGGTATTAAGCCTCCCATGTGCCAGACACTGTTCTAGGCACTTGGGAGTCAAGAATGAATGAGATTGCCAAGGTGCCTGCTCTCCTATGCTCCTGGAGGAGGCAGGCAAACAAGCACATGAACAGGGAAGGAAGCTATCAGATAGTGGTGAGTGTTATAATAAGACGATGGGATTCAGAGGGGCTGGGTTGCTAATTTAGGTTTGGTTGATAGAAAGGTCTCTCTCAGCACATGAATAGTAAGCTTGGTGTGTTGGAAGAGCATAAACAAGGTTATTACAGCTTAGTAGGGGAGGAGAGGGACCAGTGATAAGGTGGTTTGGAAGGAGAGAGGGCCGCTACCATTTATATGGATGACAGTGTGACCTGTGGCCCCTGGAGTTGTGCATTGCTGTGGTACTATGGCCCCGTCATAGAGTACCAGTTAAACTGGATAGGGTTTGGACTCCATTCTAAGGGTGACAGGAAGCCATGGGAAAGTCTTAAAGTAGTAGGAAGACTTGATCTGATTGGCAGGTCAAAAAATCCACCTTTGCTCCTCTTTGGAGAATGAGATTGTAGAGGAACAAGAATGGAAGGAAGGACCCCAGTTGAGAGGACTTTGCAATCCTATAGATAAGTTGGGTCAAGGTAATACAAGCAGAAATGGAGATGGACCAATTCTGAATCCTTAGGCAGTTGAACCAAGAGGTATGCAAACAGATTAACTCTCTGGAGTGACGGAAAGAGAGGAATCACAGATAAAGCCTAGATTCCTGGTTTGAACAGTTAAGTAAAGTAAGTGGTGGTATTATTCTTTGAGATGAGGAAGCTGGGGAGAGCAGGTATGCATTATGAATGTTCAGACAGGTGGTGACACAGAAAGGAGCATTCTACAAACTTGGCCACAGCACTCTTCTTATTTTATAGAGCATCTCACTGCATAGGGTTCCAAGGAACATGCATTGGGAAATACTGGTTTATGCCACTGAGCTTTGCTAGCCAGAGGCATCCATTTCCATGGTAGGCATTTGTTTTCTTAAAATAACCAGATATTCCAGTCAGAGCACCCATCTCCTAGTACGCCAAGACATCCTACTACTAACGAGTGCTTTACCTAAAGAAGAGCCAAACTTACTTGAGTCAGGTTTTTACATTCATTTATTCCAGCTACAAAGTGTCCTGACATAATGGCCCACCACCTACAGTGGTGACATGGACTGGGCTTTGGAGTTGCTGTATGTTCTCACCCCTTCATCTTGCCCAGGTTGGGTTACTTCTGCAGAAGGCTGGTTTTTTTTTTTGTTTGTTTTTTGTTTTTTTGAGGCGGAGTCTCGCTCTGTCTCCCAGGCTGGAGTGCGGTGGCGCGATCTCGGCTCACTGCAAGCTCCACCTCCCGGGTTCCCGCCATTCTCCTGCCTCAGCCTCCTGAGTAGCTGGGACTACAGGCACCTGCCACCATGCCCAGCTAATTTTTTTGTATTTTTAGTAGAAACGGGGTTTCACCATGTTAACCAGGATGGTCTCGATCTCCTGACCTCGTGATCCGCCCGTCTCGGCCTCCCAAAGTGCTGGGATTACAGTGAGCCACCGCGCCCGGCCAGAAGGCTGGTTTTATTCACTATATCCTGATACTTTCTAATTTTATTTCCAAAGGATAATCTTGTTCTCAAGGTCTAGGGATATGCTATCCCATGCTAACACTCTGGCTATAAATTTAAGAATGATAAAATTACATCAGTGTCTCGGTCTCCAGATTCTGTGTTTGATAACCAAAATTCCAAGGGTAGTGGTTTGGACCCTTGATTATGAATGTCAAATGTTGATGCAAACCCCCCACATGCCAGGTTTGTTTTGCTTTTTTCCGTTAGAACTCTGCCTAAAAACTATTTTGAAGCTACCTAGTTTCAGCACCCCTGGGGGGTAGCAAATACTAAAGCTTGGACAACTTTCCATGAGGTTTGCTAGTAAAGGAGCTATGGAAGTTGGCAAAGAAAATCTGAGAATTTGTTTGCTCCACTGGCATGAAGGAATCAGAGCAAATCCTCCATGACAGCCTCATAGAGGCTCACTTTGCCTCCTCACCTTAGCTCATCTCACAACTGACATGGTGGCCAAGAACTTAATCCACATTTCAGCCTGTGAAATTCCCCCCAGTCTAGAGCCCAGGAGAGGAGCATGGTCTCCAGGAATTGCTTTTTTTCTCCATCTGTGTCTACACAGATAATCAGTATTCAGTTGTTAAGGAATAACCCAGAAAATGACTTTATATTTTTCTCTATTCTCCTCTGTCTCTTCACTGCCTAAGACTAGTAAAACCAATAAATTATTTCTTACCTCAGATCCTTTTATGAATGTGGTACAGGATGTATGGATGCAAGAAAGATAAATATTTCATAAAGCAGTAAATAAGTTTAACTTTTTCTTTTATAAAGCCTAACTAAAATTCTGCATGTCTACCAATTTGTAGTACAAGAAAAACAGAATTTAGTGAGTTTAACAAGCATTAAATGGTCATTTCTATAGCATTAAAAGCAAAAATTTCCAAGATCAGCAACATCTGGGTATAGATTTGCAAACATCTATGCCCTTGTTTTGGGTCACCTTTATGGGATCCTGAGGACATTCATCCGAAAAACACCCCAGTAGAACAAGCATGTGAAATAGAAACATCTCAATACTTTAGAAAGGCATAAAGTTGGTTTACTTGTCAAGGACCCCGTATTTTGAGAATAAGGCCTTAAGAAAGACATTTGATGTTTAAAGAAACACACACATGGATGCATACACACAAGCATTCTTAGGTAATCTTAACAGCAGTTTCTTCACATTGGAAATCTATCAAATCAGTAAAGTGAGACCTAGAAATAAAGCTGCGTGTCATAGAAAACAGTGAGCAGGGGGAAAGAAACAGCAACATCCCCATTGTCAGAAGACTCTTTGGATTTGTGTGTCTAATGTATCTTCTCTCTCCTCACTCAGCTCTTCTACTTTTTTCTTTCCTATCATGCAGTGCATCATCCAAGGACTCATCTCAAAGCAAAATCATCCGCTTCACTCTGGGTCAGAAAAAGATCTCTAGGTTAGACTTTCTCTGTGTCCTGCAAAGCATGGTTTAATCCCAACCCACTGTTCCATTGTTCCCTCTGCTCTGGCTGAGTCTCCCTTTGGTCCTCTCCCCGTTTCATGTTTGCAGTTCAAGAAAACTAAACGTGCTTTGGCTAATGGTCCCATGGTGCAGAGCTTTGAAAGTGGCCATGGGATTGTTGCAAGTGTGTGCGGGGGGAGTGACAGAGTGCAAGTGAGATTGAGGTGTACATGACGTTTCACATTTTCTTGACTTTTGGCTTTGACTGCTCTGTCATCAGAATCCATTCTGATTTAGGTAAAGGTGAGTTTCTACATAGTTTTTGTAGTGGTTTTATGATGAGTTTGCTCCCTGCTTTGTCCTGGCCCTAATCCCACCTCACCTGCATCTCATTTATGTGTGTTGTGCTTTGTGTTGTTGTTAAAATGACTAATGTGGGTTTGGTTTTCACTTGAGTTATAAAGACCTGAGCATGAATCCATATTGGGCAGAGGAGACAAAACAGCAAGGCAGCTATGTGTCATTTTTGTTTCTGGATGCTCTTAGGTGCCATGGAGACCGCCTCAGTTCCCTGAAAATAAAAAATATCCTTGCTCACAAGCTAGTTCTCTTAATTCAGACTTTAACCTGTCTGCTGCCTCCTAGAAGGACCCATCGTGTGGTATGGGAAAAGCCAGTTACATCACGTTGCATCATTGCTTCTACTGTTATTTTAAAGGTATCAACAGCTAACATTTATTGAATGCAGTAGTTCAAATGCGTCATCTTATATCATCCTCATGCCAGGCTTCGTGAGGTAGGTCATATTATCATCCCCATTTCACAGATGAGGAAACTAAAATTTAGAAAGTTAGGTCATCATGCCCAAGGCCACACACATAAAGAATGGACGAACCAGGATTTGAACACAAGTAGTCTAACTCAGAACTCTCACTATAACCACAGTGCTACACTCTCTTCCCCCGCCTCTCCCGCCCCCGCTTCAATTCTGGTATCTCTGTGGTTGTTGAGGCTGCTTTTTAAAATCTTGTGTTTCAACCACTACTCTTGGCTTTTTCTCTCACACTGTACTTGTGGCATCCTAACAGAAATTGCTGCTGGGGTAGAATCTCCTCCTTATTATGACTGGTATTTATTTATTTGTTTATTTGTTTGTTTGTTTATCTATTTATTTATTTGAGATGGAGTCTTGCTCTGTCACCCAGGCTGGAGAGCAGTGGTGCAATTTCGGCTCACTGCAAGCTCCGCCTCCCGGGTTCATGCCATTCTTCTGCCTCAGCCTCCGGAATAGCTGGGACTATAGGCGCCCACCACCACACCCGGCTAATTTTTTGTGTTTTTAGTAGAGCCGGGGTTTCACCATGTTAGCCAGGATGGTCTTGATCTCCTGACCTCATGATCTACCCACCTCAGCCTCCCAAAGTGCTGGGATTACAGGCATGAGCCACCGCACCCAGCTGACTGGTATTTATTTTTCATTGAATTCTTATTTAAGGGGAAAGGGAAATCCATACTCATGTCTGTCTTCATTTCTCACAAATACATACTGAGTAACTGCTCACTTGCTGTCCTAGTATATTAGCCTCTAGGTGCCTTTCCTTAGCCAGAGTTTGCTTTTTTTTTTTTTTTTTTTTTTTTTTAAGACAGGGTCTCACTCACTCTGTTGCCCAGGCTGGAGTGCAGTGGCGCTATCATGGCCAGGCTGGAGTGCAGTGGCGCTATCATGGCTCGCTGCAGCCTTGACTTCCTGGGCTCAAGCAATCCTCCCACATAGCTAGGACTATAGGCACATGCCTCCACACCTAGCTACTTTTTTTTTTTTTTGTATAGGTGGGAGGTGGGGTCTCTCAGTGTTACCCAGGCTGGTCTCCAACTAACGGGCTCAAGCAATCCTCCCGCCTTGGCCTCCCAGGGCGCTGGGATTACAGGTGTGAGCTGCTGAGCTGCCAAGCCTAGAGTTTGGTTTTCTAAAGTGCTTACACTTGGTGACAACCAGGTCAGGCTCTGCCTGGCTGGCGAGGGAGAAACCGCATGACACTGTGCTTCTCCATAGAGCAAGTCAGCGTGTTACCTAGACTCAGTGGAGGCGACAGTAGGGAACCTAAGTTTGTCACCGCTTCTGGTAGCCATGCAGAAAGTGGCTGCTTTTCCTGACAACACCAGGCCCAAGTCAGAGTGGACACCCACTGCTCTGGCAAACTGGTCCTTTCTCAGTTAATTTGAATGTCACACAAATGCACATACATAGGAAAGGAAAGGGGAGGGATGAGCTGGGAGGAAACCTGAAATTTAGTGCCTGTTCCCACGATGTGCTCAGTCCTGCAAGATAAAGAAAACAGGAGTGAGCTGGGGAAATATCTAATTGGAAGCACATGCCCATCCCGTGAATGATTTGTTATCAGTCCCGGATGATGGAAGGAGGCAGTGGGAAGAGAGGAAGCACTGGAAGATGAGGGCGTGTCAACCCTGTCCTGAGGCTGGGCTGGGCACAGTGCTTCTGGGTTTACCCTAAGCCAAGATCTGACTTTCCCTTAGTGTCATATCCCCCACTTAGAGTTTCTTTCAGATACGTTTTCGTCTCTGCTGAGGCCAACGAAGGGATGCTTCTTTGTTTCAAATGAAGCCTTCAGAGGCTCTTCCTTGCCTTCTCTATACTCCCCTTTCCCCACCCCCAGCCTTAAGCAGGATCCTGTGAAGAATTTTAGCTGATCAAGCGCCACAAAGTGCAGCAGTAAAGTTTGGTTGCCAAAAGAAGCAGTCCTACTCCTTCTGGCAGAGTAGGCCACCTCCCCTGGAGCTCTGGAAATAGGTCTTTTGTTGGAGACCAAGCATTGATGGAACACCTGCCAGAGCCCAACACTTTGATGGGCACCAGGGGTATTGAGAAGAATGGGAAGCCTCACCTTTGAATCTGGATGTGGGGAAGGGGCATATGGAGGGAATCGATATGAGGGTGAAAGCTCTCCATGGACTTCTGCCTTTGACCACTCTTATTGCCCCCCCCCCAACCCCCAGCCTCCCTGGTGAGACCAGGGAGGCTTATTTTACCTGCAGGAGGCAGAGAAACATAGTGGCTATGAGGTGCGGTTAAACCTAAGCGAAGGCCCATCCTTACCACTTGCTGATGGTGTTACCTGGGCAAATGATTTGATCTCTATGAGCCTAGGTTTCCTTATTGGCCAAATGGGGTAGCCTTGCCTTGCTCACAGCGTTATGAGGCTTAAATAAAGTCTTTTTATTAATAATTATAAATTAATTAATAAAGTCATTCCTTGTTCCTGACATATAATCAGTTCAAGTTTGGCAGTGTTGGGTTCATCTGGGCCAGGGAAGGCAACCAGAATGCCTCTAGAAAGTCCCGCAGAGGCTGGGCGTGGTGGCTGAAGCCTGTAATCCCAGCACTTTGGGAGGCCGAGACGGGCGGATCAGGAGGTCAGGAGATCGAGACCATCTTGGCTAACACGGTGAAACCTCGTCTCTACTAAAAAAATACAAAAAACTAGCCGGGCAAGGTGGCGGGCACCTGTAGTCCCAGCTACTTGGGAGGCTGAGGCAGGAGAATGGCGTGAACCCTGGAGGCGGAGCTTGCAGTGAGCTGAGATCCGGCCACTGCACTCCAGCCTGGGCGACAGAGCGAGACTCCGTCTCAGAAAAAAAAAAAAAGAAAGAAAAGAAAGTCCCGCAGAATTGATCTGTGTGCAACTATCTTGTGGAAAAGAGGCAGTAGGGTTAGCAGTTTGGTCCTCTCTGCCCAGCTGCTGGACTGAAAAGCAGATGCCATGGAAATGAGAGAGATTTAGTATTTAATCATCTCGCCTGGCAAAAAGCATCTCTGATTATGACCGCGCCCCCCCACCCCCCAAACCCCGGCATGTGCACACAAGCTGCCATCCTTCCTGGGAGGGGCCATCCTCTGCCTCCAGCCTTTGAAGTGGTTTTGAGGGGGAAGAACTGCTTTTTGCCATCAGCATGTACATCACGTGGAGCAGAGGAGCCAGGATGCACTCCTAGGTTATGTGCTGGGAATGACAGTTTTACTGCCCTGCTTAATTGGCTCTGCACACGTTGGAGAAATTGACCATGGCTCTAACAACAGCAAGATTGTTCCCCCACCTCTTACACCACTTCCCTTAAGCTTAATATTTTAAAAACCCAACATGTATATGTTTCAAAGAACCCGTCTGTGTTCTCTGTTATTTGTAACTGTGTTTGGACATACAGTGATTAGGAGAGGTCAAGTTCCTCTTGAGAAGGAGCTATTGGGACTTTCTTGTGCTGTAGGGGACACAAGATTGACCTGCCACGCTCCCCTCTTGCCACATTGCCTCAGTGAGGCAGGCCCAGCAGGCAGCATCTGTTGTGATACCTGCAGCTGTTCCACAGGCGCCAAGACCTAGCTCTTCAGCAAACAGGTATTCTAATGCTCCAGATGGCAGATGCTTCCAGACTGGAGGTTGACAGACATTCCCATGATACACAAGGATGTTAACAATAATGAATTTCAAAATGTTACCCAGAGGCCTCAGGTCTGCGCCACTGGTAAACAAGAAGATATTCTGCTTTTCAACTCTACCTGTGCTCTTAGCCTTCTTAATTAACACCATACCCCTGGAGGGCAGGACAAAGTCCAAGCTCCACAGTGTGGCATACAAGGTCTTCCCTGCCCTGCCCTGCTTGCTTCTCTAGCCTCATTTCCTCCCACTCTGTCCCCCAAGTCCCAGCACACACCAGCGCTTTCTTTCCCCTGTACTTTCTACAGGCTTTCCCTTGGAGTGGCATGCTCTGCCCCCTGCTTTCCCATCTCCCATTCAGCATGCTGGACTTGCTCTGAGGTCTTCTATGCACTAGCTTTCCTGATCATCTCACCAACCTCCGAGATTTTCATTTCTTTCTCTGAATACCTTCTGAACGTCACGTGTTTTATCAATACATGTATCATCTAGATGTCAGCTGGGGTCGACAAGCCCCTTGAGATCTGGGTAAGATTGAGCATTCTAGCTCTGCCTCTTCCAGTTTGTAGAAAGTCCAGTGGCCTCCCAGGTTTCCTCGAGTGTCTCAGGTTCTCGTGGTCACCTTTGGCTTTGAAATCCTGCCCTTGAACTCCAGTACTTGTAAGTTCAGTCTGAATTAGTTCAATTTGTGGATGGGCTCATCCCAAGAGATGTTTTTGTTCCCTCCTGGGTGAGTCCAGGCTTAGCTTTTTTTTCTTTCTTCCCACCTGCCACACAGTCATTACGGCCTCTGTTTGTGAACCAAATATTGTTGAAAATGTCAGACCGAGGGGGCTTACTTTGGAGCAAGCAACGATCTGAGCCCATTTACAACAGAACCTAAGTGTTATACTACAGAGTTAACATAGATTCTCTCTGAATGGTGGGAAAAAGTACATAATCTCCATCCAGTTTTCTGATTTGATCAAGTTCAGGGAGCTGTCCTGTCTAAGGTGTGGAGGCGATAGTGGTCAGGGGTGGACAGGAGCTGGCTCGAGCTTTGTGGTGGCTTTTGATGGCTATATGCAAACCATTCTCCCTTTACCATGTCAGCTGTCCTCATAGTCCTCAAGAACTCCTTCTCCATGTTCCAGAAGGCTTGGCACAATGTTGCAGCCATTTGAACGATGTGCTGCTCCCATCAAAAGAGCAGCTAGCCACTGACTCAGTGAAAAGAATCTCACCATGACAACCCAAGGGAAACCCAGAACTTTCTTAGTCCAAAACCAGGGATGTTTCATTCCAGAGAGTGAAGCCCACAGATACCCCAAGTGTAAGATCTCAGTCAGCCACAGATATTTGGATTAAGTAGTTTCTCTTCTGGAATGTTCCTAGGGAGATGACGAGCCCTGCTTGCCAAAGCCTATCTTGCCTCTTTGAAAATGTTTATCTCGGACTCTTGTATATTGATTTTTGTCCAGTTCTCTCTGATACTTTAACCTAGACTCATCTGTTTTCTTCTTGATTTATCCAATTTCTTGTGCCATAGCATGTTTCTTTTATGCCAATGTCCAATCCCTTCATGAACCTGTGTTCAGTGGAGAAGACGAGAAAGGAAACTACCATACGGTGGCCAGACATTAAGCCATTTCAGATTTACAGCTGTACCCAATGGTATACTTGTTAACTATTGGGTATAACTGTAAATCATTATTCATCATTATTCCAAAGTTACAGGTAAAGAATATGAATCTCAAAGAAGTTATGAGACTGCTCCAGGGTCTTGTGTATGGAAAAACCTGTATTCTATCCATTACACCATGCTGCCTCACAGAGGACCAGACTGTCTACCTGATTCAAGGTTGTATCTTTCCCATCCTATGCTTTGATTGCTTCCCTCTATCCTGTCCTAAAAATCTGCTGTGGTTCAGCCTAGGGTCAGCACAGTGGGGGCTCTCCAGCAACTCTGAAAGGAATGCATCTTTCCCCTCTTCATTGCTTTTTGCTTCCCTGCCCTTTGCAAATTCCACACTTTGGTAGAATACTGTGACCTGCATTCCCCTACACCACTTAATACCATTGCTGTGACATCATCTTGGAACAAGTCCATAATCCTTTTCTAGGCCTATCTGTGGGCATAATGATTCCCAAAGCCTATGTCTGGTTTAAAAAGTCCAGCCCAAGGGAGGTCCAGATCTTCACCTGCAGAAGCTCTTCTATTGGATGTGAGTAATCAGATAGCACTGACTTGAAGGACTTGCAGAACATTGTTTGCGTTGGAAGCAGAACCAAGAGGTACTAAGATCTCCCTGCTGGACCTCCTGTGCCAGATGTGCTAGCCACATCTGGTCCCCAAACACAGGCACTGGCACTGCTAGTATTTTCTACTCCCTTCTGTGTCTGTCTTTGTGGAGTGAATGTCCTCTCCAAACAAGATGGGGTAAATTAACTAAGGGACAAATCCTTGCAGTGCAGTGGTAAGTAATTCTCACTGCAACATGTTGGGGGAAGAGCTAACCCCCTTCTTTCTCTCCCAGCTCCCAGTCAGGGAATTGGGCCAGCTTCTTTTTAACTATATAAATTTTACAGTCCCCTCACACCAGCTCATGTTCTCTGTTTACTCTACAACCATCTTTCTTGCCCAGCCAACAAGAAAAAGTTTAAAGTGATTGCCTGCTTATATCTAAAATGCTTCCAGACTGTAGACTTCTTTGGTGCTTACAGATTTGCATGGAAAGAGACGGCTGAAAGTTTATGACTTGAAAATTCAGACTTATCACTAGATCTAATGCTAGTCAGTTGAGGTTCCAGTGGCTTTTAAACACAGCTAAGTGGATTTCAGCTGAAAGATATAACTAAACGTTTCATCATTTATTCATCTTTCAACTTTAATTATTGGAAACAGCCTGCTTAGTAATTCCCTGGACCAAAATTCTGATTTGAGGAGTCTTACCATTAACTCTTTGGTGAATGGGCCATAATATCTTTAGACACATTATGGATGGTGACTTTATTTCCCAAGCCACCCAAAATGAGGTGTTTTATTTAAAGGGAGAATGTTGTGTGTTTGTCTTTAGGCTAACAAATTCCTACCAGTTTTACAGGAAAAATGTGTGATGTTTTCCATCTACTGTGCAGATAAGTTGTACTTCAGCCTCAAAATAATGCCTGTGGAGACAAGTCGTCAGGCGTTGAAGGGAAATGTATTTGTGGGCAAGTGTTTCCAACCAACCTTAAGTTTTCATTGCAAATATGTTGGGTTCTGAGTAGTAGTAATTCACCTTCTCACCATTATAAATTTTCCTTTTCTTGATACTTACAACCCCAGATTATGGCAGTTTTATACCTATCAGAGGAGATGCACACCAAGGTTATCAGTTTAGAATCCTCTGAGGCCTTTATGTTCCATGTTTGATAGAATTAGAAATGACTGACTTGACCCTATTAAAAAGTGAAAATGCTTATCTCAGAGGGGGGAAAAAAAGTGAACTTTTTTTTGTTTGTTTGTTTGGTTTTTTGTTTTGTTTTGAGTCGGGGTCTCACTCTGTCACCCAGGCTGGAGTGCAGTGGCACAATCTTAGCTCACTGCAAACTCCGCCTCCCAGGTTCAAGCAATTCTTCTGCCTCAGCTTCCCAAGTAGTTGGGATTACAGGTGCCCACCACTATGCCTGAATAATTTTTGCATTTTTAGCAGAGATGGGGTTTTGCCATGTTGAACTTTGTATTTTTAATCCACAAACATATTTCTTCATCCAAATTTTTCTCTCTGCTCAAAGGAAAACTTCACATTTTGCTATTGGACTTTGCTGGGATCATTACTTGCCTATATGTTTGTAATGGCTCCACCAAATTCTGTGACTGGTAAACCTCCACACAATGTCTTGGATAGTTTATTTTACCTCCTGCATGGTTGCAGTTCCTTCTTCCCACATACTGTTACCCTCCTGAGACTGAATGCATAATCCTGTTGCTTTTGCATTTTAGACTTCCAGGTCCTACCGCGAGGGTATCCGCTGCAGGCAGCGAGGCCAAAACACGTGGAGGGTCAACTACTGCTAACAACCGACGCAGCCAGAGCTTTAACAACTATGATAAATCCAAACCAGTCACCTCCCCGCCCCCACCGCCAAGCAGCCACGAGAAAGGTGAGTCACCTTCTTGAGGAGCCTTTTTGGCATTTTCCTTCAGAGCATGTCTACCTAGTTCCTTTGGGTGAATTAGGTTGGGTCGTGGGAAGGGGTTGCATTTGTGGTGAGAATGGGTTACAAGGACATATTTGGCAGGCAGGAACTTTGTTAGCCAGAGGTATTAATAAAGTGGGGGAAATATTATTACAGTCACTAGCAAAAATAATTTGCTATCTTTGGGTGGGGCCCCATAAACACTTGGCTATGGATAGAAGTGATATAGCATTTGGAATTTGAAAATACATTTTCATGGAATATGTTTTGTATATTAAGTAATTTTTCAGAAATATAAGCTTCTTGGAGCATGCATTTTGTGAACTATGATAAGCTTTTTTATCCATCAGAAATAATGTGAGGGGAGTTAGGAACAAGAGGTTTTTACCCTTTGAAAAAGTCAGGAATGTGGATTGGCTCATTGAAGATCTTGGCTACATATAAGGAGTGGACAGCATTGCTCTAGGAGTTGTGATGATGTAACTTTTGCCATAAAAGGATATGGATTTTTTTTACTATACACAGTACTGAGTTTTTAGGATGGAGAAAAATAGTGAATAGCCCTGTGGGGGTCCTGCCCAGAAGGTAGTAAAACAAACCTTTGCTTGTTTCAGCCTCTATCTCTTAAGACATTGGAGAAACTGAGGTAGTTTCAAAGATTATTCAAAAAGAGGTAGAGCCTTCCTTCATTCCTTCTAGGCAAAGTAGTCTAGACTAGACATCTTTAGGAAATATGTCCAGGTCTCCTGGAAGCATTGCCTACCTGGTGGTGTAGAAGATTCTTAGGGCTGTCTGGATGGTATTTCTTGATTTCCCTGAGGTCCTGGAAAGCTGCCGTTCACTCCCTAAAGTGCCCCAGGAGGATGGGCAGCCCTCCTACTGTGAATGAGCTGGGAACTGCCGCCATCTTGTCCTCTAACTCAACGTCACTTGATTCAGTGGAACTGAGTTCCCCCAAGTGTTTGCTAATCGCTATATCTTTTCCTCCCCACATATGAAGGAAATGTAAAGAGGGCTGACAGATGTGTATGGAAAAAGGTTTCCCAGCCAAGGCACTGGGAACTCTACAAATGGCACTAACGCTATCACCAGGATGTCTTAACCCATCAAAACTTTGTCATCCAGCCCTTAGTTTCTGCCTCAAGCAACCATTTTTACTCTTCTTCTCTCTCTCCTTTCCCCCTTCTTTCCCCTCTTCTCTCCCACTTTCCTTTTCTTCACCATACCCGTGTGTTTTTTAAGTGTGCTTAGATTACAAAAATAATATGCTTGTAAAATGGTACAAGTATCAGATAAAAGTTCTCCTATCTATTTTCCTTAGAGTACAAATATATACCATTCTATATATATCCATCTAGAACTTTCACAATGCATTTATATATGTATATATTTATGTATGTATGTATATGTATATAATAGAAAGGTTTATGTTTTTACATTGATGTGTAAAAGCTACTTTATGAGTACCTACCATGTGTCTTATTTTATCCCTATTTTACAAAAGAAGAAACTAAAGCAAAGAAAGGTTAAGTACTTGCTGAAGTCCTATCAGAGATAGTGAGAGATGGAGTTGGATTTGAACCCAGGCACTTCGATTTCAGAACCATGATTAATACCGTGCTTTCCCTGGAATTGGGAAGCAAATGCTTGAAGCTTTGCCAGTTGAGGGCCGGTTGGCCAGCACATGAGGAGAAAGTTGGGAAGGTGTTAGGAAAAGCCTGTGCTGGGCCTCTCCTCGCGGGCCAGTCTGCCCTTGCCCCATGCTCATTTGGGAAGAAGCTATCATAAAAGAGTCTGAAAGATGGATGTGAGACCCAAGTTCAAAAAATTGAGAAAATAAAGGTAAAAGTTCCTAGTGGATGGGACAGGTGTAGAAGGATACTGTGTTCTACAGCCGCCTACGCGTGTGCCCACCAATGCTAGGATAGCAACTGACCTGCCCCTGCCCTGGGCAAAGGCTCCCACATCTGCTCTGAGCAGCCTGAGAACGAGGCCCCTTAAAGGACCATGGTGCAAATTCTAGTAAAGGCAGTGCCCCAGGGAAAGACTTTAGTCTCAGATGAAAGAAAGGGAAGTCATATTTATTTATTTAGAGATGGAGTTTTGCTCTTGTTGCCCAGTCTGGAGTGCAGTGGAGTGATCTCGGCTCACCACAACCTCTACCTCCCGGGTTCAAGCAATTCACCTGCCTCAGCCTCCCTAGTAGCTGGGATTACAGGCATGTGCCACCACGCCCGGCTAATTTTGTCTTTTTAGTAGAGATGGGGTATCACCATGTTGGTCAGGATGGTCTCGAACTCCCGACCTCAGGTGATCTGCCCGTCTCTGCCTCCCAATGTGTTGGGATTACAGGCATGAGCCACTGTGCCCGGCCATCATACTTATTTATTAAGTGCATATTATATGTCGGGAACTTTTTCTTTTTTTTTTTTTTTTGAGATGGAGTCTCACTCTGTCAATCAGGCTGGGGTGCAATGGCACAGTGTTAGCTCAGCCTCCCAAGTGGCTGGGACTACAAGTGTGCAACACCACGCCCTGCTAATATTTGTATTTTTAGTAGAGATAGGGTTTCACCATGTTAGCCAGGCTGGTCTCTAACTCCTGACCTCAAGTGATCTGCCCGCCTTGGCCTGCCAAAGTGCTGAGATTGCAGGTGTGAGCCACTGTGCCTGGCCTGATTTTCAGTATAGTACCTGATCTTTACAAATGTTCTGTGAAGTAAATACTGTTAACTCAATTTTACAGGCAGAGAGAATGAGGTTAATAGAGATTAAGTAACTTGCCCTCACTGGTAACTAAGCACTGGAATTGTATCCAGGTTCCACTCCGGGATTCAAACTCTGGCTTCGTCCTGTCCTTGGGGAGGTCTGTTATGAGGATAAGGTGGGGTGGTACATGTGAGAGTGTTATATGAGCTGTGACACTGGAAAACTCCTGTGAGGATTCACAATGATGAAAACAACTGACAGTGGTCCCAGTCTGTAGCAGGGTGCATTTATTCTCTCCCCTACCCTGGGCTGTCCCAGGTTTTTTTTTAGACTAACTTTTTCAACCATCCTGAGGTAAAAAGGCCGTGGAAGTTTACTTTCAGAAACTGCTGCATTTCCTTCACCTTTTTCCTTGGTTTCTGTGTTCTCCGTTGAACCTGACCTGTTGATTGCAGCTCCTGAGGTAGCCAGCCCACATGCAGAGTGAAATAACTACCTGGATAAGACACAACAGGTACCTGGGCGAGGTCACCTCTTGTCCTTCACCTTAAGAAGTTCCGCCTCGGGGAGGGATACTCTTGTGAACAGATGAACCACAGTTTGTTGTGGTGGGTGCTGTGTAGCTGAGGCGTGGACTGTTTTCAGGTGAGGTAAACTCCGTGCTGTAATCCCATCACCCCTGTTCCTTCATCCTTCCTGTAAGTGAGTCAGACCCTGACTGGCTCGGGTTCTGGCACTGCACTCTCAGGTGAGCCGATTCATAGACTACTTTTTCAGAAAGTAATGGCAAAATACCTATAACATAAAATTAACCCTCTTAACCGTTTTAATCAATAATGTTAAGTATATTCACATTGTAGTACAGCCAATCCCTGGAACCTTTTCATCTTGCAAAATTGAAACTCAGTACACATTAAACAATAACTCTCCATCACCACCTCCCACCAGCAGCCCCTGGCAACCACTTTTTGTTTCTATGAGTGAGAACTCTAGATATCTCATGCAAATGAAATCACACAGCATTTTTCTTTTTGTGTACTGGACACAGCTTCTGAAGAATTAAATAATTACTTATAAGGCACTTTAGAATACTGCTTGGAAAATAATAAACACTGAGAAAATTTTATCTTCAAAATATGATAGTATATGCATAAAAATATGGAATGATATAAAAAATGGGCATATTTCACTTAGCATAATGTCCCCAAGGGTCATCCATGTCATAGCCTGCAATTCATAGACTTTAATGTGTGACCCCATTGACCTAAGAATTTCACTCTGAGGAATTGCTCTAATGACATCAGTAACTTCAATTAGAAATTCATTATTCTGTCAATAAGTGACAAAAATATTTCAACATTTAGTCCCAATTTTTTAAAAATATTAAGAGGAATTAAAAATTATAACAGGCAACTTTTCAAAACCCATAGAGCACTTTATACTTTGTAGGGAAATCCTAAAGGATTTATCTTAAAATCATGCCCGCTCCTGCCATCATCACTGAATTTAGTTCTGGTTACACAGAACAACCCACTGAGATGTGAAGCTGAAGAAAAGAGATAATATATATTACTTCTTAGCTAGAAAAGGCCTAGAGACTCACATGAAATTCATTCACTTGTTCCATAAGGTGGTGGCCAAGTACACAGTTGATGTGTAAAAAACAAAAATATTCCCAGACAGCAACATAACCTACTAGTTTTCCCAAAGACTGATCTCAGATTTTGCCTGTGAGGTTTGAAGGAAAGTCTGCAGAGCCTTTAGGAAAACCTGCAAGTTGTTTATTGTATCATCATTGCCGTCATGGTTAGATTTGCCTTTGATTTCCTTTTCTCTCTCCTGCAAGCAGCAATGAGCCACATCTGTGCCTGACCTGTGGTACATGTGAGCAGATTTGCCAGTGAAAAGTCAGTGTTCAGAGATGGTCAGGACACAGGAAGACTACTCACTTCTGTTGACTCCTAGTGGCCCTAGGGCTCCAGACCAGAATCACAGATTTTCAGGGACAAAGAAATAGCTGTCTTTTAAAATATTTGTGATATTACCTGTTTTCTCTTCCTTTCCTCTCACATCCTTCGAATGAATTAACACTGCCTGGGATCTAGTACATTTCTAAAGTATTTGGTCCATCTTACGAATTTGAAACATTTTGTATTCCTAGACTGACTTATGTGCATATAGAAGATACTCTCTTCTGAATAATATGGTTTTCTTCATTTTACAGAAAGCACATCTTTATTTTCATTACAAAAATAA